TAGTAGTGCCACCCTGAGCGGCTTGTCTCTTACCAGGCATTGCCCCTATCCAGTCTAGGGGGTGTGTCAAACATATCTTTGTATGTTGTTATAGATTACACTGGGTTGTGCCTCAGAGAGTACAAACCACTAGGTTATATTCCCTTGTATGTCCCGGTTCGACTCATTCATTAACTTTGATACAGTCCCCATTAGTCTCGACGGTGCATCATACGCAAGAGGAGTACAGCCTACACAACATCAATCGTACAAGCCCTCGCTAGGCTCGTTCACCTTTGTGCCGACTCCCGCACCAGCAATGGACTCAACAACAACAGACAAGCAGTCAGACAGTGTCACCATGCAACAGCAGTTCAACAATATCCTGAAATTACTGACGTCCTCACCTTTCAACGACAAGGACTTCTTTGCCTGGAGCTTCAAGCTCCAATTGCTGATGGACGGCGCTCAAATCCTTGGCTTCTTCACCAACGCCTGGCCATTTCCTGTAAACGGGACTACTCAGGGAAAGAAAATCTACACTTATCAGTCAGTGATGGCCTTCACCAGCCTCTTGCGCAATCTGATAGCAACTGAACAGCAGAGCATCTGGACACATCGCAACTTCGGCAACTCGGCAGAATTTGCTTACTGTCATCTCAAGAGAGTATATCTAGCAACCGACAGCGTAACACAGAGTCGGCTAATGGCTCAACTCACGACAATCCAGATGGAATCGGGAGAAAAGGCAATGTCTTACATCAATCGCTACAGAGGCTTACGCGACAAACTCTTATGACGCGGAGGGCACTTATCGGAAGACTCGTTCGTCACGGTCGTCCTCGCCGACCTCGGTCCACAGTGGCACACGACGTGCTCCCTTCTATGCGCTCACGGGCGAATTTCCAAGATGCACCTATGCGCGGAGCTCCATGCCAAGCAGCAAGACATGGACCTGTACGAAGAGAGACACACCAAAAAACCAAGTCAACAACTCGCATTCTAAGAGCACAGGCGCAACAATAACACCAACAATAATCACCAGAATCGACACTCACCCCCGTATTGTCATCGATGCTGCACGACGGGACACTCGTGCTTCAACTGTCTGAGGCAGCAGCAGTAGCAGCAGGAGCAGCAGCAGCCACAGTTCTCACAGTACCAACCTCGAGCGCCACGTCCGTCACCGAACCTGGTCGCTTCAACTCAGCAGCGCCCACCAGCTCCGACGAACCGGTCTGCACAAGACGTGCGAAATATCGTCAGTTGCATGGCAAGAACCGACCTTTGTGTACCTGCCTCTCCACCACACAGCGATCTCGACAAGCAACCCCCCGCTTCGACACAAACCCGGCTCCAACCAAACCCAACTTACGCTGCAATCGCTCGCAACGAACTGTCCGGCCGTGACACATGGTTTCTTGATAGCTGTTGTGGCCAGCACATGTGTTCTTCAACACGCTTCATCCAGCAAGAGAAGACATTGAGCTGTGAAGTCGTCATCACTGTCGCCAACAACCAGAACCTGCGCACAAGGAAGGAGGGTGTCGTTCAGTTACAGTCAAGCGAGACGAACGTGATACTACAAATGTCACGAGTACTCGTCGTCGACAACCTTGGCTACAACCTACTAAGTGTCAGCCAACTGATGTCGAAAGGCATACACCTGGAGTGCGACAGCTTTGATCGAGAGTTCCGACTCTACCACGGGAAGGGCGGACTCTTCATCGGCAGAGCCATCCAGATGTTCGGAGTCTTTGTCTTGGACTTCGTTCCAGACCGCGGGACTGCCGACAGTGACGGTGTCATCTCCTTCATGCCCTGGATGTACCCGCCGGATCTTGACCCTGCGTTCGACCGCGACAACTTCTGGTACTCCAACACCATCCCTGAGGCATAAATTACCCGAGCATTAGCAGTGATGCAAGAAGTAGAGGAACAAGAAGCAGCGGAACGAAAAGCAGAATAGCACGAAGCAGAACTGCAAGTGCTGATAAGACAACTTCCTGAAAGCCCCGTCGCTGGACCTTCGTCGGCACCACCCGTCGAAGAAGTTCCGCCTGCACTGGAACCTGTCGACGAGCCACCACCGACCGACGCTGAGCAGTTGAAGGCACATCCCCGCAAGCAGCATCGGAGCACCACGACCGTCTCCGCCTTCTACGCCAACTCGGATCTGTATCGCCGGTCTGTGGGACACAAAGCAAGCAAGGAAACTTGGCATCAACAGTTAGGACATAATGGAAATTCAAGGTTATTCGATACGATTCGTGCGAATGTCTTGGACAAAGACGCGCTCCTACTACTCGATGGCTGTGAACTTTGATGGCCGCGACATACCTGCTTTATCTGCCTGGAAGCTGATCTTCCTCATCAACCATTCCTGTCGCATCACAACCCGAGCGCACTAGAGTACTCTCCACTCGAGAAATTCCACAGCGATATACTCTACATCCCGTGAGAGATTGGCTGGGCCGACCCTAACTACGTGATTACCTTCGTCCATGCCGTGACACGATACACCTGGCATCTCAACCTACCGTCACGCAACCTCGCCTTCTCTGCCTTCCTCGCATGGCTTGCTGCAGCAGAACGGGAGGGAGACACGAAGCTAAAAGGCTTTCAGTCAGTTGGAGCGATGGAGTATCAGTCACAACGATTCAAGGACTACCTCACAGAAAGGGGAATCAAGAGGCTCGTCACCCTCCCCCTATGCTCACCAACAAAACGGTGTAGCAGAGAGGATGAATCGGGCCCTCCAGAACACCATGAGGAAGTTGCGGACCGGGATGCACCTGCCCAACTCGCAGTGGCCGGAGGCGATGAATCCCGCCGTCATGCTGCAAAATCTTCTGTTGTCAGGCTCCCTGCCCAACAACGCATCACCACATCTATTGTGGACATGGAAGCAGGGCAGCACAAAATTGTTACGAGTGTTCGGGTGCATGGTTCAGTACTGTCCGCACACTGCACGAGCTGGACGATTTTCGCAGCGGGCAAGATGGGGTTTACACCTCAGTGTAGAAAAAAACTACAAGGCCTGGAAAATCTTCGACATTGAGAATAAGGAAATAGTACCGGCATGTACCGGCATCCAGGAGTACCAGCAGAAGCTCGGCTGTCTGCTATTCATTGCCGTCACCTGTCGTCCTGATCTCTCCTACGCTGCTAGCCAGCTCGCTACATACCTTAATGCCGCGGTACACATTCCCTGAAATGTATTGATTGTTACAGTGTGAGTTCGGTTGGAGAAATACTGATTGGGCAGCGAGAGTGACGACAACCATCATTTCGTCAAAATCGGGTAAGTCAAATTGGAATAGCAGATGCGGAAAAACCAAGGGGCAGATGCAATAGGGGACGAAATCAGGAGGGTGAGAGGTGAGTGGGGCGGGGGCGAAATCGGGGGGTGCGATAGGAAATTGCTGAGTGATGGGGGAAATCAACGGGTACAAGAGGGGACGAAATCGGCGGGTGCAAGCGGGGACAAAATTGGCGAGTGCAAGCGGGGACGAAATCGAAACACGGGGTAAAAAATGCAGGGGGCAACCGCGGGGGCGCTACAAGGGGCGGAACGGGGACGAATTCGGGGGAGACCCCAATGTAAACATTCGGAAATTGGGGGTGGGAGCTGCAGGGGGGGGAGACAACTTGCAGGGCGGGGATGCACAGTTCCGCAGCGAGAATGGGGTTTGTAGTACACAAACCCAGCATTTTGTTTTTGAATTGTTTCCACAAGTGGCGAGGCATTCGTTTCACACAGCAAAGTTACGATATAATCTGATTCCCAATGTTTTTAATTTGAAACACATTTCAGGGAATGTGTACCGCAGCTTTAAGCGACCTGAAGGGGGGAATCTGACCGAACTCGACCGCGCGCTCCACTACTGCGTCTCGACCCCGACGATCGGACTAACCTACCACAAGAATGCCGCTACTAAAATTGAAATCATCGGCTATGTCGACGCCGATCACGCCAATGATAAGGACAACCGCCGCTCACGCACGGGCTACATCTATCGCCTGGAACATATCGGAACTATTTCCTGGCACTCGAGAAAGCAGGAATTAATCGCCCTCTCATCTGTTGAAACTGAATATATCGCCCTCTGCGCAGCTACAAAGGAAAGCCTGCACCTGCGCGAGTTGCTCGAATATGTGAAGAACTCCGAGTTACCGAGCTTCTCTCTCATTTGCGACAACCAATCGGCAATCAGAATCGCCAACAGGACGAATCACATCTCGCTTGGTTACTTCTTCGTGAAAGACGAGATCGAGCAGGGTCGCCTCCTATTGATCTAATGCCCCACCACTGAAATGGCAGCCGATTACTTGACCAAGAAGCCGATGAAGGCTAAGTTCCAGTACTGCATGCTCCTCACTGGACAGCAACATGTCAGCGACCTCGACCACGCCGACACTCTTGAAATGAAGGAGGGTGTTGGAAAGGATGTAAAGACTTAAGACATTTCCGGAGTCTTGCGTGAGTGTACGAATACGCGAAGACTACAACAACAGGGATTACCAAGTCAACACTGCTACAGTACTACCGACAGTTGACGTAGGTTGACGACAACCTGCAGAGTTTACGAAAGGGCAACGGTCGCATATCATTGACCGTGCAAACCAACAGTTAGAATCGCAAGAGTCAAGAGTCAGCGCGACAGTAAGGAAAAATAACCATCCCGATATTACAGTACGAGTGGTTATCCGAGTCGCCTTTATCGAGCCATAAAAGGGAATGTACCGTAATCACCCAGATAAACGCCCCTCCGTAGGATTAGTCCCATGGGCTCTAACTCATGCATTGGGACTTATAAGCATTATTCGATTATACGCCCCTCCTCTCTGCTCCATATCAAATCCCTATACGCCCCCCCCCTTCTTTTCAAACAGAATTTAATGGAAATAGCCAAGATAAGTAGAATGCACTAAAAAAAACATTCTTTAGACAATCTGAAGTCTTCCTATTCAAACCTAAACCTAGGATATGCAACAGTTTCAGGCTAGCATTGCTCATCGAACATTACTCCTAGTCTACTCCTACTCCTCCTCCCCCTCCTCGCCTTCCTCCTCATCCTCCTCATCCTCCTCCTCCTCCTCCTCCTCCTCCTCCTCCTCCTCCTCCTCCTCCTCCTCCTCCTCCTCCTCCTCCTCCTCCTCCTCCTCCTCCTCCTCCTCCTCCTCCTCCTCCTCCTCCTCGTCCTCGTCCTCGTCCTCGTCCTCGTCCTCGTCCTCGTCCTCGTCCTCCTCCTCCTCCTCCTCCTCCTCCTCGTCCTCGTCCTCGTCCTCCTCCTCCTCCTCCTCCTCCTCCTCCTCCTCCTCCCTCCTCCTCCTCCTCCTCCTCCTCCTCCTCATCATCCTCCTCCTCCTCCTCCTCCTCCTCCTCCTCCTCCTCCTCCTCCTCCTCCTCCTCCTCCTCCTCCTCCTCCTCCTCCTCCTCCTCCTCCTCCTCCTCCTCCTCCTCCTCCTCCTCAGCACCTACCGAGTTGTCTCCAGAGAAGCCATCTGCCCCGTCCTCGTCATCAACATCCACCTCTGCCTCTTGCTTGTTGTGCATGTGCTGGAGGGTCAGATAGTCTTCACTGCCGTCGAGCGAGTTGCTGATGCCACACGTATTGAAAGCCCTCTAAATGAGGGCGGCAGGGATGGCCCTCCACGCCTTGGAGACCCACTTCAGGATCTCCTCCAGTGGAGGCTTTTTGAGGTTTCCTGTGCCAGCAAACATGAGTACCACTCAGCTAGAACAATGTTTACAGAAAACAAACTGTTAAAAACAAGCCAGAAGATACTCACCCTTAGCGGCCTTGGAATACATCCCCACGGAGTCAAACCACTCCAAGTAGTATTGCCTCACCCGAGCCTTGAAAGCTCGGTTGATGCATACGTCCAGGGGCTGCACGACGGAAGTGCAGCCCGCGGGGATGACTCCGGGGATGACAGCAAGCTTCCCGTAGCATTCCTTCACTTCAGGCGTCAGGTGACCATGGTAGGAGTCAAGAATCAGTAGGGCAGAGCACGCACGCAAACCAAATCTTGGGTGGATGAAGGGCTCAACGGCGTTTTCTAGCCAGGTCTTCACACCGTCCGCATCCATCCAACTGTTGGGTTGTGCCGCAATGACGACATCTGCATAAACCCGCTCGTCGTCTGTTGCCCAGTTGAGCTGCAAGGCTGATACGCTGGTGCCATGGTGGCACAGAAGCTTCGCTGGCTGACTTTCTTGCTCACAGACTTAGGTGAGCGGCCTAGCTCTGCCTCGGTCTTGTACGCTGACAACAGGCCCATGATCCTCCTATGCCAGGAGCATCGACTGGAGGGCAGAGCGAAGCACATTCAGCTACGGTACTTCCTCCTGCGCGAGCTACAGCAGCGCCGCCAGGCCCGCGTAGTACACTTGGCCTCAGGTGCCAACACAACTGATATCACCACGAAGGCACTTGCGCCTAAAGATCATCAGCAGCACTATGTACAGCTTGGTCTAGTTCTTGTAGCTTCTCTCTTGCTAGGACCCTGACTGTGTACTACTACTTATGTTATCTTGACTGGCATTATGGCTCTTGTTCCAATGGCTGGACTAGTAGTGCTGCCCTGGGTTACAGTTGTTTAGTTGGTACTCTTGCTGACTGGTCTTCACACCCTTGCCTCAGAGGTTGGACTAGTAGTGCCACCTTGAGCTATGTGTCTCTTGCTAGTCGCTGCCCCTTGTCTAGCCTAGGGGGTGTGTCGACATATAGTTTGTATATGTTATAAGCTAGCTAGGTGCTTGCTCATATTGAGTATAACCCCTTAGGTTATATCCCTATGTACCACCTCATTCTAAACTATTCTTTCAATGCTTAAAGAAAGGTGTAAGGAAAATCCCTTTTCCTTATCAAGCCTCGCTAGCATCGACTACAGCCCTGACTTTCGAAAGTGCAGGCTCGGCCTAACAATTCAGGTTCGAACTACGTTCGAGACCCCAAGCCTATACGCGGCATCGCAACCGGCACTTTCAAGTCCCGAGGCGCCCCAAACCACCTCGCGTTTGTTTCGTGGCCTTGTCCGAGGCTCTCTTGCTAGGCTAGCTGTGCTTGTATTTAGCCATGTGCTTCATTTGTACTCGACATACTTTAATCACTACCTCACTATTGCAGTACTCGACTCCTATCTGGAGATTATCATAACAGGGCGGGAGCTTGACCATTTCAGAAATGTAATGAAAAACTGCAGTTATGGATAATGCTATATGCACACATGAAATAGTACTGGTACACCAGATTGTGCAATAGGCGAAGGCACATACCGGTATCTATGTCATATGCCATCTGACCAGGCCTCAAATTTGAAGGGTGTTTCACCCTGATTGCCCTTGCCAGCGGCCACTTTTTCAGGATCACCCTGATTTTGTAAGGGCATTTTTTTCGTGACCCTTAGTCAAAAAGTGTAAGATTGTTTTTACCCTGCTGTAGTAAGAGTACTTCTAGTTCTACACTGACCAGACAGGGTATCGCCGAAATCACACTGAAACTGAAGAACGGTCCGCATATTCGACAAGTTTCTGTGTCCAGCTGGAGTCGCACTGCATGTGTGATTTTGGCGAAGGGCCAATCAGGCCCCTCACACCTGCTCTAGCTCGTGTCGGAGTGCATATTTGAATTTGTCGAAGGGCCAGTCAGTCCCCTCACACTTGCTCTAGCTCGCATCGGACTGCATGCTTGATTTTGTCGAAGGGCCAGTCATTCCCCTCACATCTGCTCCAGCTCGCGTCGGACTGCATGCTTGATTTTGTCGAAGGGCCGCTAGTCACACCTCTCACACCTGCTCCAGCGCGCCTCGGACTACAGAACGTGCGTCATTTTGGTAAAGGGACAGTGACGCTTGGTACATGGGTTGCGCAACTAATCGAGGTTGCGCAATCTTGTCTGGTTACCGAGATCGTTGAACCTCGCACGACGTGTGAAAAATGGGTTGGACTTAATTTAGTTGGGTTATTTCGCCAGTGGCGCAACCCGGGTTGCAGTCTCGACGCAAAGCGCAACCCATGTACCACGCCCTCACATGTGCTCCAGGTCGCCTCGGACTTCCTGTGTGATTTTAGTGAAGAACCGATAATGTCCCTCACACATGCTAAGAAAGCTGGAAAATTGCAGGTTACTGTGCAGTGGACAGGGTGATACTTTGAGTACCCTTTACATTCATGGTACTCTTTTTTTTAAAACAAATTTACCCTGATTTTCAAAGGGTGACAAAAAATTTACCCTAAGTGACAGGGTATTTTTTTTAGGTACACTGATTACTAAGGGTGCCCCTAAACCAATTTTGAGCCCTGCATCTGACCTCAATTTCCGATCGAATATTCCTACAACAACTACGGCTGCTGCGTGCAATCAACTCTGCTCCTGCTGTGGTGGTTATTGAGTGTCATATTGCAGTGCGATATTGCAATGGATTCCATTGTCACAATGGGATTTGTGCCTTTCGGACCTACTATTTACTCCATCATGTAGGGATGGATATATAAGACATTTAGATACATGTATAAGAGATTACAGATATATTTGCATGTTATCGACACATAAGTTTGAGGACCTGACGAGGATCAGTCAGTCCTTCTTGACTTTCCCTCGATAGTGGAGGGGCTTCCCGCCTCTGCGCAAAATCACACAGGATCACTAGAGGGTGTGCTGGACCAACTGGAGAGGAGCTCTGGACAGGCTCATCCAATCAGGACAGCCAGAGCTAGCACTCACCGTCAAGGCTGGGAACTGGACTGTCGAGTGGGGTGCCGGCCTTTCAGTCCAATCGACCGCTCAAGCGGGTCGAATTGGCGGAGGGGGGAGAGGAGGGAAGGGAAGGCCGAGCATTGTGGCACTCCACAAACTGCACACATCGCCTCGTTGAGCCACAACAACCACAATCTGATTTCACAGCTCACAGCCACACCTCTGCCGCACGTTTCTCTCTCCCTAGCGCTCCCATCGCCTCCCCCGTCTCCCTGCGCTTTTCCCTGCGCCCTCTCTCTCTCCTCCCTCCCGCGCTGCCATGGCGTCCGCCGCGTCGTCGCGCGCCGTGCATCGCGCCGTCGCCGCTGTGCGCGGTAGAGAGCGCCGTCGCCCAGTGAGCGTCCTTCCTACCTCCACTGCCCCACCGTCCGCTCCCATTGCCTCCCATTACCTCCCATTACCTCCCATTGTCTCGCCTTGCACGCGCGCCTTGCCGCCTTTCGACACCATTCGCGACAGCACTTCTCTCGCAGCAGCGTGCCGCCAGACGTCGCTCGCATGCCCTTCCCCCCCCCATGCCATCACACCCAGGCAGCGCGTTCGCCTGGCCGCATTGCCCGCTCCGCCGTGTATACGCGTTGCCAGCAGCTCTTCTGCCGCCCGTCCTTGCCTCGCCCCACTTCTCCCCTCCCCTCCTCCCTCCGGCCCGCCGTGCTTCCTTCCTTCCCCTCGCTCCTCGCCCTCTTCACCCACAAGTCCGCTACCTCTTATTCTCTCTCTCCCCATCTCCCCACCCCTTTCCTCCCCGTCCCCCTGCTGTCGCAGCTCGCCGCATCCCCCTGCGCTTCCCTGCGCCTCTCCGCGCCACTCCGCGCGTCACCTCTCCCCACAGCGGCTTCCAAATGCCGCCCGCTCCGTGCGCCGGTTCCGCCACACTCGCGCCCGCGGCGCCCAGCGGTGCGCGCAGCGGCGGCTCCCGCGGTGGCGGCGATGGCGGAGGACGGGCTGCTGACGCGCGCGGCTGTGGCGGCGTACGGCGCGCTGGTGCCGGCCGGCACGGCCGCGAGCCTGGGGCTGACGGAACTGACGGTGAGATGCGCGACTGACGGTGAGATGCGCGACTGACGGTGAGATGCGCGACTGACGGTGAGATGCGCGACTGACGGTGAGATGCGCGACTGACGGTGAGATGCGCGACTGACGGTGCGAGACGCAGGGGGAGGGACGCAGGGGAGGGGGAGAGGGGGGGGGAGTGGGCTGAGAAATGAAGCGGGCATGGGAATGATGGGGAATGGGGGGCGATGGGGAATGGGGGAATGGCGGAGAGCGGGGCACGCTATGGGGAATGGGGACGACGCACAGCGCATGCGAGCACGGAATACTGCTGTGCTCATGCCATGCCGGGACGCGCGCGTGCGCGCGTGTGCGTGTGTGTTTGTTTCTGTGCGCGTGGTTGCCCCGCGCAGGTCGTCCTCGCCCTGCGCGAAACGATCATCGCGCTCGCCACTGTCGCCATCTTCGTCGCCGGGCCCAGAATATGCCGCCTCGTCAACTAGTAGGCCGCTGGGGGCATGGGCATGGACACGGGCACGGGCACGGGCACGGGCATGGGCATGGGCACGGGCACGGGCACGGGCAAGGGAAGTTCACAGGGACGTAATGGCGTCGGATTTATGGATGCGATGTGGATTTGCCCTCCTCAATGCGCCCCCCTCAATCGCCCCCCTCAATGCGCCCCCCTCAATCGCCCCCCTCAATGCGCCCCCCTCAATCGCCCCCCTCAATGCGCCCTCCTCAATGCGCCCCCCTCAATGCGCCCTCCTCAATGCGCCCTCCTCAATGCGCCCCCCTCAATGCGCCCCCCTCAATGCACCCCCCTCAATCGCCCCCCTCAATGCGCCACCCTCAATGCGCCCCCCTCAATGCGCCACCCTCAATGCGCCCTCCTCAATGCGCCCTCCTCAATGCGCCCCCTTCAATGCATCTCTTGTGCGAGGCAAGGGCACACATAGAGTGTGAGTGTGAGTCTGACCTCACGCCGCGGTGAACAACGCTTACTGTGGTGAACAGCGCTTGCCGCCTTGTGTCACTCCAAAAAATGAAAGATAGCCTGTAAGACTGTGAGTCCGCCACATGACTATGAGCTCACCTGTGCATGTCAGCTCTGCCAGGTGTTTCACCGCAAGGCAGACATCGCTTACCTCTGTTAGCTCTGCCGGGTGTCGGCTTCTGAAGTCCTCCAGCGTGGCAGCAATATCCGCTGCTGGCAGCTTCGCCTGGGAGGGGCAGAGGGGAGGAGAGGGGAAGAGGGGAGGGGAATAGGAGAAGGAAAGGGGAGGAGGCCTACTGGGCGAGAGAGGAGGCCTACCGGGCGAGAGAGGAGGCCTACTGGGCGAGAGACGAGGCCTACCTGGCGAGAGAGGAGGCCTACCGGGCGAGAGAGGAGGCCTACTGGGCGAGAGACGAGGCCTACCTGGCGAGAGAGGAGGCCTACCGGGCGGAGGCCTACCGGGCGAGAGAGGAGGCCTACCCAGCGAGAGAGGAGACCTACCGGGCGGGAGAGGAGGCCTACCAAGGGGGAGAGGAGGCCTACCGGGGGGGAGAGGAGGCCTACCTGGCGAGGGATGAGGCCTACCGGGCGGGAGAGGAGGCCTACCGGGCGAGAGAGGAGGCCTGCCGGCGAGAGAGGAGGCCTACCGGGGGAGAGAGGAGGCCTACCGGGCGAGAGAGGAGACCTACCGGGCGAGAGAGGAGGCCTACCGGGCGAGAGAGGAGGCCTACCGGGCGAGAGAGGAGGCCTACCGGGCGAGAGAGGAGGCCTACCGGGCGAGAGAGGAGGCCTACCGGGCGAAAGAGGAGGCCTACCCCGCGAGAGAGGAGGCCTACCGGGCGAGAGAGGAGGCCTACCAGGCGAGAGAGGAGGCCTACCGGGCGAGAGAGGAGGCCTACTGGGCGAGAGAGGAGGCCTACCGGGCGAGACAGGAGGCCTACCGGGCGGGAGAGGAGGCCTACCAGGGGGGAGAGGAGGCCTACCAAGGGGGAAAGGAGGCCTACCAAGGGGGAAAGGAGGCCTACCGGGGGGGAGAGGAGGCCTACTGGGGGGGGAGAGGAGGCCTATGCGCCACCCTCAATGCGCCCCCCTCAATGCGCCCCCCTCAATGCGCCCCCCCCAAAGCGCCCCCCTGCATACGCCCCCCTCAATTCGCCCCCCTCAATGCGCCCCCCTCTATGCGCCCCCCTCAATGCGCCCCCCTCAATGCGCCCCCCTCAAAGCGCCCCCTTCCATGCGCCCCCCTCAATGCGCCCCCCTCAATGCGCCCCTCTCAATCCCCCTTCCCATCTCCCGCATTCTTCTCTCCCCTGCGTGCGGGGCACGGCGATCATGCGCCATGACCACGCGATGGACTTTCTGGCCAGCACTTGACTCTTCTTCATTATCTATTCTTTTCTTTCCCCCATCCCCCCTCCCCCTCTCCCCCTCTCCCCCATTCCCCCATCCCTTCCTCCCCCCTTCCCCTTTCCCCCCCCCCACCCCAGCGTGTGGGGCACGCTGGTGATGCGGGACGACGAGGTGACGGAGGAGGAGTTTCAGGACAGCATGTTCGGCGCCATGGTGGCGCCGCTGCAGTTCGCCCTCGTCGCCTTCTTCTTCTCGCGCCAGTCAGTCGCCCTCCTCCTTCGCCTACCCCCCTCTACTCTCTCTTTCCTTTCCTTTTGTTCCGGAGGCTCCCTCCCTCATTCTTCTCACCCCACGCTGTGCGCCCTTCCCCCTCCCCCGTGCCATGCCTCCATGCCGCCTCCCTCAGCTGCTTTCCCCATGTTCACCGGACTCCCTGCCCGTGCCCCTTCCCGCCCATCCCTGTGCTGGGCGTGCCAGTCTGCGTCTGTTGGTGCCGCTGCTCAAGCTTCCCCTCACGGCGGCTGTGGTGGGGCAGGCGCGCGCCGTGGCGGCGGTGGTGGCGGTGACGTGGTTCGCAACGGGGTGGAAGGACCGCCTCATGAAGCTCGTGGCGGCCAACCACCCCGAGGACAAGGTGAGGCGATGGGGGCAACGGGCAAGGTGAACGACCCTCGTGCATGTGGTGACGGCGACGTGGTTTGCGGCCGGGTGGAAAGACAGGTTCATGAAGCTTGTTGCGGCCGCACACCCCGAGAATAGGGTGAGGTGATCCGGGGAAAGGCGGTTGCCGTTTCCCCCACGCAACTTGTGTGCCTCGTCACGGGGCGGACGGATAGAGTCACGAGGCTAGTGGCGGCCACACACCCCGAGGTGCCTCCACTGGCGCTGGCGCTGTGAGGGGAGCTCCCAGCCTCTGCCCATCACGATCGCCCCCCATTCCACCCCGCGCCCCTTCACTTCCCCTCCCCATTCCCTTCCCCCTCCTCGCCTCCCATCCCATCCCACCCCACTCCCCCCCCGCTCTTCCCCCCCTCTCCCCCCCCTCTCCCCCCCCAGCCCGTGCTGGTGAATGTGAGCAAGCTGCTGACGCTGTTGCTGCGCGTGGCGGCCGTGGGCACGCTGGCGGAGATGATGGGCGTCAGCCTCCGCTCGCTCATCGCCGTGGGCGGCATCTCAGGTCAGCACCACCACGTACCCATGGTGGTTGCCGGGAGGTACCCATGGCGATTTCCCGCTGCAACCACCCAGTGCTGTCGGTGCTTCCCGCTGCCATCACTTGCCTTTCACTTGCCTTTCACTTGCCTAAACCCTTGTGTTGCTTCCCCAGCGCCCTGCTTCCCCAGCTCCCTGCTTCCCCAGCGCCCTGCTTCCCCAGCGCCCTGCTTCCCCAGCGCCCTGCTTCCCCACCGCCCTGCTTCCCCAGCGCCCTGCTTCCCCAGCGCCCTGCTTCCCCACCGCCCTGCTTCCCCAGCACCCTGCTTCCCCACCGCCCTGCTTCCCCAGCGCCCTGCTTCCCCAGCACCCTGCTTCCCCAGCACCCTGTTGCCCCGCACTACCCACCTCTACCACCTTGGTTGCGTGGCTCGCTGTCCTGCCACCCGAACCACCTCCGTCCCCCGTCTTACCCATTCCTTCGCTCTCTCCGTTTTCTCCTCTCTTAAACTCCCACCCTCCCCCCTCCGTCCCCTCCCCCCCAGGCGTGGCGATCGGGTTCGCGTCCAAGGAGATCGTGACCAACTTCTTCGGCGGGCTCATCCTCTTTCTCACGCAGCCCTTCGTGGTGGGCGACAAGATCAAGGCGGGCAGCGTCACCGGCCGCGTCAGGGAGATCGGCTTCTTGCAGACCAAGCTCGAGGCGGACGACAACTCGCCCATCGTCGTGCCCAACTACATCTTCAACACTGCGGTCAGTCACTCACTGCTCGTCCTGCCGCCCCTTGTTCTCCTCCCCGCACCCTCCCCATCCCTCATAGTGTGAGCCGGAGTTCACACCTGAAACCCCTCTTTCGTAGCCCCAGCTAGCCTCATCCCTTCATCCTCCTTCCCTGCTCTCGCCTCTCCTTCCCCACCTACCACCCGCCTCCCCTTCTTCACCTCCTATGCCCCTCCCCCTCCCCACCTCCCCCGCCCTGCACCTATCCCAATCGCTGCCTCGGCTGCCTGCCTCCCGCACAGGTCGTCACTAACTTTTCGCGTGCGGGCTGCCTGGCTCTCGAGGCCACGTTCGTGCTGCGCAACGAGGACATCGTGCGCATCCGCCCCATCACGCAGCGCCTCACGGCCTACCTGCGTGCGCACCCGCGCGTGGACCTGTCCAAGGGGCCCACGCTGGCGTTCCTCAAGCAGCTGTCAGGCACAGGGCTGCAGGTCGGCATCATGACGTGCGTCCAGGACATGGTGCGTTGCCAGGGGACAGGGGGGGGGATGATGGAGGGTGGAGGGGAGGGCACGGAGGGTGGGGCACATGGTGCCAGCAACATCTGCTGCAGGGGGGCATCAGGGGGGCATCAGGGGGGCATCAGGGGGCATCAGGGGGGCATCAGGGGGGCACCAGGGGGGGGCATCAGGGGGGCATCATGCGGGCGCGCAGGACATGGTGCGTTGGGGAGGGGGGATGCACGGAGGGTGGTGGGGGGGGGGACGGGTCCATGGAGGGTGAAGGGGGGAGGGTGGGTCCATGGAGAGGGTGAAGGGGGAGGGTGGTTCCATGGAGGGTGAAGGGGGGAGGGTGGTGTTAGATTATATATATCTATTGTAACATGCTCGACTAGTATATTCGCTAGGTGTACACCAACCTGTAGTGTACACATCAAAGTGCAAGGGGGAGGGTGGAGGCGCATGGTGCACGGGGTCCATTCTTGGTGGTCAGTGATGAAGGCATGGTGGGGAATCGGTGGGCATGGTGGGGGGTTGGGGGGTTGGGAGCGGGGTGGGGGATGGCGGGAGGGATGTTGGGTTGTGGGGTGGAGACAGCGCAGGGGAATGGAGCCAGGCGGGCTTCTTGCATTCGCAGTGCAGCAGGGCAATCCAGACGACTTTGACTTCCCCGCGTCGCTGGTGCATGCCTCGTGTCAGCTATCCTCGATGAGCACCGCTCCCCTCCCTTCTTCTCCTTCTCCTCCCTCCCCTCCGCTTTCTCTCTCCACGAGGACCACGGTTCTTGGAGGTGCAGCAAGAAGATCCTCGAGGCCAGTGTGGAGATCACCTCTCACCGCACTCCCCCCTCTCCTCCTGTCCTCCTCCCTCCCTCTCTCCCCACTGCTGCTTGCCTCTCATCAGCTGCCCTCCATGTGCTGCTCTCCATGTGCTGCTCTCCATGTGCTGCTCTCCATGTGCTGCTCTCCATGTGCTGCTCTCCTACCCCCCACTCACTCTCCCCCCCTCTCCGCCCCCTCCCTCGCTCTCTTCCCCCCCCCAGGAGGATGATGAGTTTTTGGAGGTGCAGCAGGAGATCCTGGAGGCCAGCGTGGAGATCATAGTGGAGGAGGGCGCGTACCTCGGGGAGAGCGCGCCCTTTGAGCCCTCCGCCGCACTCGCTGCCACGGCCTAGGCGGACGGCACCAGGTCGCTCTTCTCCCTCCGCACCAGGTCGCCCTTCTCCCTCCGCAGCAGGTCGCCCTTCTCCCTCCGCAGCAGGTCGCCCTTCTCCCTCCGCAGCAGGTCGCCCTTCTCCCTTCGCACCAGGTCCCTCTTCTCCCTCCCCCGTAACGTACCCTTCCCTCCCTGTTGCTCTCACAGGCCCCTGTAGTTGTGTTCCTCTCCCTCACATGCTCCAGGCGTCCCTTGGCCCCTCCATCCTATGGCATCCTGCCTCGTTGCGCCATCACCTGTGCCATGCTGTCCCTCCTGCTCTGCTCTATGCTGCTGCTCCTTTTGCTCCCCTCACTTCACTGCACAGGCACTGCCATTCGTGCTGTGCTCGCTCCCCTCGCGCACAGCATCCTGTTTCCCGGGAACAATTCATCGCGAGCAGGAAGAAGGCCTGCTGCAGCGGGGACATGGGCGTGTTAACAACTGTTAGAGGTGAAAATGTTGGCGAAAGGGAGGATGTGTCATTGCGGTTGCGGCGCTACTTCAGCAGTGTTGGGCTGACAATAGCCCTAGGATCTTTTCAGAATGCTACGTCCTTGTACCGTATTCCCCCGTATAAAACACCCGCCAGAATTAAGCTCCCCCAGGTAGCTTAAGCGGGGGTTTAGGATATGGGTGGGTATGGGTGTTTAATTTTTCTGGATATACAGGTTTGTGCCTTAGAGGGTACAACACACTAGTCTATATTACCCTTCCATTCTAGTCATACTTTGTTTTTGAGATAGTGTCATGCGTATGTAGGTCCCGCGCTTCCGCCCTAGGTCCTAGCCGCCCCGTTCCCCCCTCGCTAGCCCGCGCGCCCGTTCCTTGCTCGCCCCGCGCGCCCGTTCCTAGCCGGCCCTTGCGCCCGTACCCGCCGGCCCGCGCGCCCGTTCCTAGCTGGCCGCGCGCGCCCGTTCCTAGCCGGCCCGCGCGCCCATAATTGCCGGCCCGCGCGCCCGTTCCTAGCCGGCTCTCGCGCCCGTACCCGCCAGCCTTCGCGCCCGTTCCTACCTGGCAGCGCACGCCCGTTCCTAGCCGGCCCTCGCGCCCGTCCTCGCCGGCCCTCGCGCCTGCTCCTAGCCGGCCCCCGCACCCACCCCTAGTCAGCCTTGCGCCCGTTCCTAGCTGGCCCCCCCGACGCCTGTTCCCCGCCAGCCCTCGCACCCATCCCCGCCGGCCCCTTCGCGCCCGCTCCAGCCAGCCCTCGCGCCCGTTACGGTCGCCCCGCGTGGGCCCCGCGCCCGTTCCTGACCGGCCCCACGCCCGCTCCTCGTTAGTCGGCCCGCCGCCGGCCCTAGCGCTCGTTTTGTAGCCGACCCGCCCCCCCGTCCTGTGGCCGGCCCGTCCTACACAGCCCCGCGCCACACTGTACCGCACTGCACCGCCCCTCACCCATCTGCATCGCACAGCACTGCACTGCACCGCACTGCACTGCTGCTGCATCGCTCCTCATGGTGGACTCCGTGCTCCGCTTCGACGCAGAGGGTCAGCCGCTCAAGTTTGACGCATGGCTAGGCGACCTCCGCCGTCATCTCACTGGTCAGCGACAGGATGGCCACCCACTTGCGGTCCACCTTGACGGTACGCTTCCCTTCCCTGACCCCCCTGCTGCCCCACCCGTTGACCCCTCGTCCGCTGATCGTGAGTCCGCTGCAGCTGCTGCCCTTGCCCGCTCAGTCTAGTTGTCGCGTGACGCCGTTGCGCAGCTTGCGATCAGTCACGCCCTCCCCCTGTCTGAGTGCCCCCGCTTTAGGTCGGTCACGACTGCGCAGGAGTTCCTAGATGCTGTTATCGAGCGCTATTCCACCCCGCCCGCTGCCTCTGTCGGTCGCTTGATCCTACCCATGCTCTTCCCTGACCTTGCGTCTTTCCCCACTGTCGCTGACCTGGCCGCTCACCTGCGCACTATAGACCCGACCTAGCGCTCTGCCTGCACTGGGACCCAGCTTAGAGCCCATCAGCCGCCCCTCTGCTCTAACCTCTACCTGCTTGCCACCCGCCTCCCTGACCGTCTTGCCACTGCCCGCGACCGCTTTCTTAGCATCCACCCTAGTGACCTCACCCTCACCGACTTTGTCGACACCCTGTCTGCCATAGAGACCCGCCAGCGCTCTATCGCCCAGACCAGCGGTACTGTGCCGGTCCCTATCTTTCAGGGTTGTGCCCCCGCTCAGTGCACCTTCTCAGACGGTTCCGCTGCTGTGGCTGAGACTGCAGCTGCAGCGCAGTTCCGTCCGGGGAAGGGTCGCCGCCCCAAGATTGGGCACGGCGGAGGGGGTGGCGGTGCAGGTGGAGGTGGTGGTGGAGTCGGGTCGCCTGGTGGTAGGGCGGACGAGGGGACTGTGCCTAGTGCAGCCGAGCAGCCATCCCAGCAGCCGCCGGCGTCGCAGCCGGACCAGCACCAGCCCCAGAAGCAGCCCCAGCACCAGCCGCAGCAGTCGCAGCAACCGCCGCAGCAGCAGAGGCGGGCGAGTGGTCTCCCGCCCGAGTGGCCTGGCGCTGGTGGCGGCGGTGGACGTGGTGGTCGTGCGCGTGGTGTGCCTCCGGGTGGCAGTTCGGGTGACGGGCGCTGTCAGTACCAGCTCCAGACCGGTCCTCGCCGCGGCTCCGTTTGTGGTAAGATCGGTCACACTCCCGTCCGCTGATTTTGTCGCCTGGACGACCTGTTTCGTCTTCGCTTCGGCCCGTCGCCTTACCTCCCCGACTGGTACAGCTTGCTTCGCCGTAGTATTCCGATTTTTGATATGGACATGGATGAGCTTAGCTCTGCCTTGTATGTGCTGTATGCTGATGACTCTAGTGTGACTGGTTCTTACTACCCCTTGTTGCCTAGTGTAGGTTTGTCTAGTCCAGCCTCCCCTGCTACGTCAGGCGTAGGATCTCCTACCTTGTTTAGCCTTGGTTCCTTCCTGGCTGCTCTGACTTGGACCGCCACTGCTGCGCTCTCCTTCACCCCGGACTCTGGCCCTTCCCGGTGTTTCTTCCGCGACTCTACTACGCTGACGCCGCTTGCTGCTCCTGCCACAGTTTCCATTGCTGACCCCTCCTCCGGTCCGGTAGTCGCCCGTAGTACCACCATCCTTCCCTATCCGGTGGCTCCTTCAGGCTCTCTCCTAGGCCTGCACGTCCCCTCGTTTTCGAGGAACCTAGTTGGTGTTGGCTGCTTCCAGGACCTTGGCATCACCACTACGTTCCCTGGCCACAGGCAGTTTGCTGTCTGTACCGAGGCCGCCACTGGTGCTCCCCTCACCACGTTCCGCCGAGACCCACTGTCTGGCCTGTTCACCCTGGACAGCGCGCCCCCACCGGTTGGGACGCCTCCTCAGGTAACTGCGTCTCCTCACTTTGTTGCGGCCTGCTCGTGTCGGTCGCTCACTCACCCGACAATCCTATGGCACCACCGTCTAGGTCACCCTGCACTCCCGCATCTGCGCCACATGTCCCAGCACGGTCTGGTCCTAGGACTTCCAGAGTCGTTCCCCGAGTTGCCCTCCTCCCTTGCGTCGCCGTGCACGCCCTGTGTCGAGGGCCGGCTCCGCCGTGCCCCTCACTCCTCCTCGTTCCCCCCCACTGCCGCACCGCTACAGATTCTGCACATGGACGTCTGGGGCCTCGCCCCTGTCCATGGGCCGCGTCGTGAGGCTACTTCCTTGTGCTTGTCGACGACTACACGCGCTACACCACTGTCTTTCCCCTGGAGCGAAAGGCCGACGTGCCTAACGTTCTTATCCCGTAGCTTGTCGTTGCGCGTGTCCACTGTGGTCTTCCTGTCTTGCGTCTCCACTCCGACCGTGATGGCGAGTTTGCCTCTGGTGTCCTTGGTCGCTTCTGTCATGCGGAGGGCATCACCCAGACGTTCACCATGCCGGACTTCCCGCAGCTGAATGGGGTCGCTGAGCGACGCTTCGGTTTGGTCATGGAGGTGGCTCGTACCTCCATGATCCATGCCGTTGCACCCCATTTTCTGTGGCTGTTCACCGTTCGCTACGCCGCTCACCAGCTTTACTTGTGGCTGCACCCTTAGCGGCCGCAGGTTTCGCCAACCCTCCACTGGACTGGGTCTCGTGGTGACGCGTCTGCGTTCCACGTCTGGGGCTGCCTTGCTCACGTTCGTGCCTCTGGCACGAACAAGCTCAGTGCCCGCACCCTCCCCTGTGTCTTCCTCGGTTTCCCACTTGACGCGTCTGACTGGCACTTCTACCACCCGCCGTCTCACCAGTTATTTCACCCCCGCGACGTCACCTTTGATGAGTCCGTCTCCTTCTACCACCGCTTTCCCCACCGTGGTCCCCCAGTTACTCCCCCCGTGTTCCTAGTCCCCCCTTCCCTAGTTGCCCCTGCCCCTCCCCCTCCCCCTCCCCGTCCTGCTCCGTCTGGTGTGTCCCACGTCACCCCCCTCATGTCGGTTGTCTCGGTCAAGGAGTCTGCTGACTCTGGCAGCCCCGCGGCACATCCTCACCACCTGCCCCTCCCCAATTCACTCCTCCTTCGCCACCTCCGCAGCAGCCGTCACCAGTGCCGTCGCAGCAGCCGTCGCCGCCGCCGTCGCAGCAGCAGTTTGTTGCCTCTGGGGGTGCTGGCGTTGGGTTGGGTAATAGTCCCGGGGCTCTTGTCGTGGCTTGTCCTGGCGGGCCTGGGGGTGGTACCAGTGCTGGAGGGGTTTCGGGCTCTGGGGGTGTTCCTTCTAGGGGTGCCGGAGTGGAGTTTTCCGGAGGTAGCTGTGGAGCAGCTTGCGGCCCAGGTGTCGGTGGTGTGCCGCCGTAGTAGCAATCACCGCCGGTGTCAGCCCTTCGCCTACTTGGCCTTCCGTCCCCTGACCCAGCGTCTATTCCTCTCCTGTTGTCTCCTCCTCTTTCTGTCTACGGCCCTGTGTTTCCTCCCCCGGACTCGTCTCAAGCTCGTCTTCCCCCTCGTTCCCCTCTTGTGTCTCCTCCTCTGTCTCCTGACCCGACGCCTCCGTCTCACGTCTGGTCTCGCCGTCCCGCCCGTGCTCGCCCTGTCTCCCCTGTCGCTCGCTTTCACCCTATGTTGCTTCGTTCCCATGCGTCTCGTCCTCCCCTCCTTCCGTCACCTCCTCCGTCCTCCCTTGTTGTTGCGCCTCCCCCTCTGTCTGACTACCTTCGGGCCGCTCGTCCCCTTGTTCCTCGGGTCCTTGCCTCTCTCGTTACTGACCCGTCTGTCCCGGTTTTGCGTCTTGACACTCCTGTCGCTGCGGTCGCTGACTTCGCCACTACCCACCGCCTTGACTACGCCACCACTCTGGTCTCTGACCCTGTCTGTCCTCTGTCTGTCAGGGGTGCTCCTGCCCACAGCAGTGGCATTCTGGAGGACCGCCAGTACGACCTTGCTTTCCTTTCCGAGGCTGCTCCCCATCTCTGTTCCATGCTGCTCGTCCCTAAGGGTGACCCAAGCGCTTTCGACATCCCGACCCCTCGCACTTACGCTGAGGCGACCTCGGGACCGTGGGCCGCTCAGTGGATAGCTGCCATGGAGCAGGAGATGGCATCCTGGAGATCCACCGGCACCTACGTCGACGCAGTTCCCCCGCCTGGGGTGAACGTAGTTGATGGCCGCAGGCTCTTCAAGGTGAAGTGCCCTCCTGGAGAACCACCTATGTTCTAGGCGCGCTACGCGGCTAGATGCTCTAGTCAGCGTGAGGGGGTGGACTTCTTTCAGACCTTCGCCCCGACCCCGAAGATGGCTACTCTTCGGGCGCTGTTACACGTA